AAGTAGAAAGCAAATGTTTTGAGAATGATGATGGCAACAAATGTACAAATGTGCTTGACACAATGAATGGATGGATGGATGGATTGTGATAAGAGTTGTACCCGCCCCCAATAAAATGATTAAAAAAGAAAAAATTGTCAGTCCCCACAATGTCACCATTGATTAAGGGTAAGTGGCTTAAAAAAATTGTCATCCTGTCACTGACTCGGGGTGACTCATGACGCCTGTCAGTATAGAACTGAACCCAATGGGGTTTTCAAGGTTGGGTTTTTTTGGAAGTAGATCGTCAAGTCTTTCTTCCAAGCCACCTCTGTGAGGACTTGCACCTCCGGCCTTTCAGTTAGTGGCCGAGGGCATTAATGATTGACACCATTCAGGGGTTCCAGAGGACATGGCAGGCAACTAGAACCCTCTGCTGCTAAGTCTCTTAAGAATAAGTGGTTTCATTTATTTATTTTTATTCCCTTGTTGGGCTCCCAGGGATCCCAGGTCCTAAGGATACACGGTTCCCTCCTCAAATTGAATGAGACAAAGCACGCAAGGTGCTATTTGTGTGCCTGGGGGCTAAGGCAGAGATCTTAGCCCAAGCTTGAGATTTACCCATAGCAGGACCAAGCATGAAAAGATGGGAGAGCCAAGGAAAGTCTCATCAGGCAGGATGGAAGGAACGCATCTGAAAGCAGTGAGTATGTGAGCAACCATGACCATGATGATGTAAGTGGATTTTTTTTCAAATGTGGCTCTTATTTTTTCCCTCACTTTCCCGGTTTTTAACAATAAGGATAACTACCATTTACTAAAATCCCTGGACGTGTCAAAGAGGACCGCTGGTGGTGCAATGGATTAAGCACTGGCTGACAATGGATAGGTGGGTAGTTGAAGCCCATTCGCTGTTGTGCAAGAGGAAGATAAGGCTACCTGTCCTCATTAAAACTTATAGTGTGAGAAACCCCACATAAGTCCAGATGAGTTGGAATCTACTTTGTGGCAATGGATTTGGCTTTGATGGAATGCTCAAACATTTACTTTCAACATAATGCTTTCAATCTTTATGGTAGCCTGAAGTACAGTTCCACTTCTGTTTGGAAATAAGAGTGGCAAGACTTCATGGTATCACATACTTTGGGTATGTTTTTGTTTTGTTTTAATACATTTGTACATATGTTGCCCTCATCATTTTCAAAACATTTTCTTTCTGCTTGAGTCCTTGGTACCAGTTCCACTTTTTTCCCTCCGTACCGCTCTCCCACCCCCATGAACCCTTGATAAATGATTATTGTTTTCATATCTTAAACTACCCGCTGTCTCTCTTCACCCAGGTTTCTGTTCATCCCCCTGGGGTAGGGGGAGGTTATGCTTCAATTGTGATCAGTTCCCCATTCCTCCCCCTTTTACCCACAGAAGAGACTCTGAAATGTGCTTTAACTATAGAGTAGTTCAAGCAAATGAAGAAATGATGAAGTCCAAGAGCTGAATAGAAAAATTCAAAGGGCAGCCCTAGGAGACAGAGCTAAATATTAGAATGAAATGTGCAAGACCAAGAATGAGAGAAGCAAAAGGGAAGAACACGCTCAGCAGATCTGAAATGGAAAGAACTCAGGAAAAATTCAAACCTTGAGTGACAACATTGAAAGACTCTATGGTCAAAATATTGAATGATGCAGGAAACATTTGACTGTGTGGAACATACAAACTATGGATAGCTTTGGGAAGAATGAGGATTCCACTTACTTATGCTTCTGTGGAACTTGTACATGGATCAAGAGGCAGTGGTGGGAACAGAACAAGGGAATCCTGCATGGTTTAAAATCAGGAAAGGTATGAGACAGGGTTGCATCCTCTCACCAGACTTGTTCAATTTGTGTGCTTAGCAAATTGTCAGAGAACATGGCTTATATAAAGAAGAATGTGGCATCAGGATTGGAGGAAGGCTTATTAACAACCTGAGATATGCAGATGACACAACCTTGCCCCCTGAAAGTGAGGAAGATTGACACACTTGCTGATGAAGATCAAGAATTGCAGCCTTTAGTATGGATTACAACTCAATGTAAAGAAGACCAAAGGAAACTAAAAAAACAAAAATACAACTGGACTAATACATAACACCATGATAGAGAAAAGGTTGAAGTTGTCAAGGATTTTGTCTTGCTTGCATCCACAATCTATGCTCATGGAAGCAGCAGTCAAGAGATCAAAAGAGGCGTTGCCTTAGGTAAATCTGCTGCACAAGAACTATTAAGAGTGTTGAAAAGTGTGGATGTTATTTTGAGGACTAAGGTGTTCCTGAACCAATTCATGGTGTTTTCAATGGCCTTCTATGCGTGAGGAAGTTGGACGTTGGATAAAGAAGACTGTAGAAGAATTAACGCATGTGAATTCTGGTGTGAAGAATATTGAATGTGCCATGCACTGCTCAAAGGACAGA